TTAATTGAAACCAATTTATTTTTAAGCTATTAGATGTGTACCCTGGTAAGTGGTCACTATTCTACAGCTGCTACTGCTGCTATTTTAGTTAACTAAAATAACAAACTCTGGGAGAAGTAACTCTTTGATAGGAGCAATTTAGAAAGGCTCTAAATTCCATTCTGGCTTAGGGGCCCATTTCTGCCAAAGTTTGTGCTTTTTTACAAAGCATGATGCTACAAAGAGTTTCGTAGCTACTCCTCCTAGCTGAACACTTGTCTGCACTGTGCTCTTCCCCTTCTGATTTATCGTCAAGTTTCCCTTACAATTTGTCAACAGCCTTTTACACATCTGGGCAGTACCACACTATTGTGAGGGAAATATCTTAATTGACCTTGAGCTTAACTCATTCCCATGCAAGGACTTGACCTCAGACCTTTCCCTATCCTCCTGTGACTAAATGTGTCAATGAAAATCCAGATAACTTAGTTGTAATTTGATATCATTTGTGAGTTTTTTCCCTTCATCCAACCATCATGTATTGAAGTTCCAAGACTGTTGTGGGCAATATTCATTAATGTTATGTTCTTTACTGTTCCATTGAAAACAGATTTAAAACATTAGCTTCACAAAGTAAAGATGAACTTGTTTCAATGGGATTCCCATCATTTACAATAGAGGACTTTCATCAAATTGTAAGTTTCTACACTTTTCATGTGTTATGATTCAATATGTGTGCTCATGAGTCATGACTCTGAAATGCAAGTGGATGAGACTGTATCCTCAGGTAAGAATGGAGCAGGAATGGCACTTTAGTTAGGGCACTGACCTTCCTCCTCTTTGACACTGGTTTGATTTGGGTAGTAAGTTGGTATTACATGTAGATATAATTTGTAATCATTTCTTGTCTGCACTGTTTTCTCTGGAAACATGGCTCTAGCCCTTAGATGTAGCACTCCCTAGAACCTATTATTTTCATAGTTTCTTGTTTTTTTCCTGCAATTTTACTATCTGAAAATTTTAAACTGGGTTCTTTGGCTCCAATTTAGTTCATGGAAACAATTGAAGCTGTTGGAAAAAGTCAGTCTGTGGAAGAATTATTACAGGTAAAAATTCTCATTGTGTATCTTAAATGTTCTAACAAATGATTACATGTATCAAGCCTGTTCAAAGTTTTTAAGTGATATGCTAAAGTTATACTTAAAAAGAGAAGAAAAACACATGTTGCTTCCTCTAAGGGTGAGAGATTGTGTAAGATTGGCAGGAATACACTCCCAAAAAAATTGTACAATGCAAAATCTCTGAGGTGGGGAGTGTTAATTTCTACTGAATGTGTTAGTTTCTGTCTATACAACCAGTTATTTTCCATGGTAGATCATTAATGTTGATATGTACGTTTTTTGTGGATGAATACCTTTCTAGAGTTATAATGTCTGATGATCACAGAATTTTTGACATATAACTTTATGCACTGTAACTTTAATACTATTGTTCTACTCCTAATACTTTGTAAATGTGCCAATGTATGTATTTCTTTTAAATCAATGGTGTTTTGTGTATTAATACCTTTTCAGACATTTCAAGATGAAGGACTTTCAAACTATATTGTTGTGTATTTACGACTCCTAACATCTGCACAACTTCAAAAGAAATCTGATTTTTTTGAGAACTTTATTGAGGGAGGAAGGACAGTACAAGAATTCCGCAGCCAGGTAATAAACATATACTAGTATATTTATTATTGATGTTTTATCTTGACACCCCTTCTCCTCTCAATCCTTTGACCTCCAACATCTCAACAAAATTCTCCTTATACATCCCCTATAAAGTTTCTTGTGAGAATTAGGTGTTGGATCAAATGATAATATTATTATTCTTATCATATGGCTGCTTGACATTGTAATGATATTGTAAGGAGAAATTATATCTCAGTCACTCATGGTGAAATGATTAGATACACAAAGAATGATACAGATATTAATGGTAAACAAACAAATACTGCACATGTTGCATTGTGAGTTCAAGAGTGGATAATTCAACTTAACTTAGGTGAAGTTTTAGAAAAGAAATTTGTTTGTAAGAGAGTTGGGCAAAGAAACTAAATATATTTTGTGGTGGTAGTTGTAAGCCCTCTTGATGCCAGTATAAAACTGAACATTTGGATAACACATTTGCCTCAACTGAGAATAGTTTAGAATGTGCTTTTGGAACACAGTAGCCATTTTAGTTATGGTATCTTTCTTAAACAGGGCTAAAAATTGGCAGTTGCATAGTCGCCAGTGGCGAGTTAAAACTGACCTGGGCCACCAAAAGTTAAGGTTTGAACACCCAATGTGTGACTATGCTACAGAATTTTGAAAATTTGCAATGTAAATTATGCAAGGTACAAAATTAAAAATAAAACTCAATATGTAGTTTAATTGAACTACCTTTCTCTTTGTTTCTTTGCCATGAAAAGCCATGAGGCATTTATTCAAGTTTTTCATTTTAAACTGATGGAAATTAAGGGTTACTTCATTTTGGGATGGGCCACTAAGAATTCAAGGAAACTGGCCCAGCTGGCCACCAAGCACTGGAGTTAATTTTTAGCCCTGCTTAAACCAGCAGCCTGTTTCTCAAAGGTCCCAGTGCCTTTAAGGGTGCAGAGTTATATGTTTAAATATTGTGGGTATAGCTCAAAACCAGCTCATTCTGTTTTGTCTCATGATATTTACCAATTACTGGAACAACTTAAGCATGATATCATGAATTATCAAACCTGAGGTCTGAGGCAGATAACACATGTGAAAAGACATGCAGTATATAAAATCCATCCAGGGGACCACAATTCTACCCAACGACCACGAACCATCTAGAGACTTACAACTTGTTTTTACTAATCTTCAGGAAGTCGAGCCTATGGCCAAAGAAAGTGATCAGATTCATATCATAGCTTTGACTGATGCACTTGGTGTTTGTGTGCGTGTTGTCTATATGGACAGAGGTGGGAACTCGTCTGTCAATCATCATGATTTTCCAGAAGATGGGTCCCAGCCTTTGGTTAATTTACTATACAGGCCTGGTCACTACGATATTTTGTATCAAAAACTATAACATTTCTTTAACAGAAACTATTTTTTATTTACCCTCAAATTCAGTTACTTGTAGAATATTTATTAAGAATATCTTAATGCAGTTTGTACAGATTTACGAATAAAATTGTTATGTTTGAACTCGAGTTGTATATCTTAATCTAAGTGCACAAGGTGCAACTTCTACCAAATCATTTGAAAAGTTTAAACAGTATGTTATGAAATCCTAGTTGTTCATGTTTTTCCCCATGTAAGTGTAAACTGTTGCAAGGTTTTTACAGGACTTGAAAAACCAAGGTCATGCACTACTACAATATCATTATTCACGCCTGGAGAATTGGGAAATTTTAAATACTCTATTCCTTTAAATAAGCGCCAGGGCACTTATTAAGAATTTGGTTTGAAAGGAGGGTGCTTATCTGAGGCGGCTCTTCTTATTTTCCATCGCTGATTCCACTGTAGATAAAACTGGAAAGTTATAAATGAAGCCTGTGGCAATAGAAACAGGTTTCCTTATATCTCCACTATTTATTAAGACAGGAAGGGACTGGAGAGGAGCACTTGTTTGACATTATTGCCAAGGGGGTGGGTGCTTATTCTGGAAAATACAGTATTCCCCAAAGGTTGAAAGCTGCTATAGAATTATGCCAGCTTCTTTCCTTATTGTGCAACGGTTTGTTTAAACTGGTTGTTACACAACTGCGATACCCAACCCAAACCAATGTTTAACAATTGGTTCATACATCAGTGAGTGTTCATCAAGATATGAAGCATGCAGGAAGTTTAGAGAGCATGAAAGATGTGTAAGAGTTGCTCAAGGCGTAGCTGAGAGCAACTCTAGCTTCTTGAGCTAGCTCACAACTTTCCACGTTTAGCTTAAATTGCTGCTGAAGTCTTGACCAGTTTTTTAATAGTAAAATTCCAAAGTAAAAAATCACAATGAAAATGTTTTTTCTCAAGGGATTTGTTTGCTGATGTCATGAGTGTGCACAATAGGAATTTGAAGCACGCTCATTTAATTGAATTTGATTGGACAAATTTACTAGCTATGTTATAGAGATATTTGTATCATGCAAAGTGTACTTTCACAATGAAGATCAGGAAAGTTCAGTGTGAATTACCAGAAGACAAAGACACATGCCAAAGAAAACCTTAGAGGATTCCAGCAAAGTTAACTATGGTAGCATACTTTCACAAACAGCATACATCATCACAGTACAATACACTTACACCTGTAACTAGGTGTAACCTATCTTCAGATTTCTCTTTTTAGGGAACACCTTGTCTCAGTTTGTTAAGTTTGTGGAAGTGCAAACTTAAGTAGCAACTGAAAAATATTGCAGTTATCTTTGTATCTGTCAACCCATCACTGAAGGGATGTCAACTTGGAACAGTTTTTGTAGTAACAAAGGGTGTTCCCCCTCCTAGAGTTTCCACTGAATGCATTTCAAGTTCTCAAAAACATTATTTCAAGTTTCTTTTTTCCACCTCAAAATAAAGATAACTACATCTTTTATCAATTAAATATAACCCATTAACTGCCACTATCTCAAAGAAAATTATCCTTTCTGTCTGCCATATATTTCTTACAAAGTTTGTACTGAGAATTATGTGTTGGATCAGTGATAATTCCCTAGTCACTTGCCTGCTTGATATTGTATCAATACTGTGAGGATAAATAATGTCTTGGTCCCTCATGGGGGTGAAAGACTCAGCAAACTCAGTGAACAAGTTGATACTTTCTTGTTTTGTAGGTGACAGTCAATTGGGTGAATATAAAGTGTTGGAATCTATTACTTCAGTTTTTCTCCATCACCACTAATTGCGTAGGTTAAACCAGTTTTGGTGCATGCGGAATTGAGTGTGTATAAATGTAAATTATGTGAGGGGCATGATGTAATACCTATTTGAGTGACTGGCAATAAAGGTCTATGGAAAAAAAAGTTTTTCCTTATTTTTTAAAGTTTTCTGCATAAAGATAAATCTCTGCTGATTCCCTTCTGCTTGCTTGAGGTTTACATTTCCGAACTTGATGGAAATTTTTTTCCAGTGTATTGATAAAATCTGAAAAATTAAACCCCAACTTAGACATAAACATTTCTTAATTAATATATTTGTTTTTTTACAATACCCTGTGTTCCGATGGTTTTCACAGATAGTTACTTAAGGTAGTAATGATGATTTTTATTTTCTGCTAATTCAGATGTCTCAAGACACTGAGCAGTTTTTATGTTTTGGTCAAAGTGATAAAGCTAATTAAAACTGAATGACAGAATACCTGAGATGGTTAAGTAAACTGTGATACCATTAGCTTGCTCTTGAAGATAATGATACCACTGGTACTTGGAATTCACCTACTTCACTTACTAAATGTCTACGTGTGTGTTTGTGTGTGTCATAACTGTCACAAAAGAAAGATTGCCTGAATACCATTAGCAACAAAAATTTCAGATAAACAAGTTTGAGGTAAGAGATCCTCTATTTTTTTTTATAAGCACTATAAAATCACTAAGTTAGTAACCCTCAGTTGTCATATTGGTCATTTGTGCAATCAACTACAGTTACCGAAAAAACTTCTCAATTACCTTTAGTACCATATCCATCCCATAGTTTACAAAGAAAAATCCCACAGGGCTTCAAAACTGATTTGCTAAAATCCAAGGCTGACTCACACAGACCCTGAAGACAACAAAATTTGGTGAAACATTTGTAATCATCAATATTGGCTTTCACAATGATATAGTTTGCTGATAATTCAAACTATTTTAGGTTTCCTTAAATTCTAAAGTAGACTTATTTTGCTGATAAGTAACCCATGGTGGGTTTCATGCAAAGCTGCCATTACATGTATATCCTTACTAAAATTCTCACAGAACAGTTTTTAACTGTCTTATGATATTTTTGAATCACTAGAGCCAAAATTTTAACATGTGATGAGGGTGAAAAAGTATCTGAATATTTTTTTGTGGAAAAGGAAGTTAAGGCTTGTTGATATAGCCACATCTCCCATTTTGGGAAAATGTTTTTGCTCTCATTAATGGAGAATATTTCATTCAAGTGGGAAATTGTAGACTGAATTTTTCTGGCAAATAACTGAAAATTGTTTCAGTGATAACAGAGAGAAACGCAGGGTTTAGCCAAAAAAGTTACAAAATTAATGCTAATTTAAATTGAAAATAATCTTAAGTTGCTTAAATATCTTGTAATGACTCCTCTCAAACTTCAATTATTTCCAGGTCTTTGTGGAAAGCCTTACTTTGGGGAATAAACAAAAGTGTCCCCACCATATAAGCAACCAACAAGGTTCTACAGCTTACCCCAGTCTTCATAGTGTGAAGCTCCTAAGAATACTGCTACTCCCCCCCTGGATGGGATGCTAGTCCAGCACAGGTTACCACTACACATTTGATCAGGCTTCCTGACTCTTTGCCTGTACCCTTTTATACTACTGGGTGGCGAGAGGCACTGTGAGAATGGAGTGTGTTGCCTAGGAACACAGTACAATGACATTGCCAGATCTTAAACCTGAAGTCCAGCAGCCTAAGTGTTTAAGGACATCTTGCGCCCAACATTTACAATTGTACATTTCATCAACTGGTGTTCAGCAGACAGGCAGACACTAGGGAGTGTCTGACTGATGTCTGCCTGTTAGTGATTATGCTCAAAAAATGATTTGACATTTTCTAAATAATCAAATAATTACCAGGATAGCTTCATGATTCACTGTGTGGTTTCCACTTGCATTTGGAGCCATATCACTGAAAAATAAATTCAGACAAAGTGGCCCTCTTTATCCTTACTTTGAATGCCTTGCCAAGGTGTACAACAATTCTACTTCATTTCCTTTCAAGGAGGTGGTCATATAGAGATAGATTTAGAGGTAGATTTTTTTTTTCACATTGAGAACTAATTTTCAACATTTGACAAATTTTCCCTCTTGATAAAACCTGAAATTGAGGGGACATATCACAAATAGAGAGAAGATGTTAACTGTAGCATAAATACTCTACATGTTTGTACAAGGAAGTGTTGCCATTGAGAATTTTTCTTCTTTTTTTACATTCCATAATAGTTTTGATGTACCTCATAATAACATCAGCACCAGATGAAGGCAATACTGTAAGAATTCTCTTTTGTGTACTTGTGCTCGTAAAATCACATCTTGAAAATATAGTTGCTCCATCTATGTCTTCAATGTCTTTATTATATCAAATAAGCAATAAAATGGAAGAGGAAGTCACATTATATGAGCAAACAGACCAATATATTAATGGTATATTAACAATACACAGAGGCATAGAAAACTGATTTACATTATTGGTTGTCTAAGACATACAGCAAGAGAACATTTTTAATATGTTTAAAACAGCAAAATCCCAATATAGCAATTGTTGGATGAGGTTGGGCATAATATCAAGAATTATCTTATACTAGACTTCCTATGAAAACTCTGATTGGTCCAGAGCACTCGCTCACAATACAGTAGTGTGTGAAATTAATTGACATGATAACCCAATTTAAGCAGCAAATAATGGGTTATCATGTCAAGTTCAAAGTCTACATAGTTTCCAAGGCCCTTCTTTCATGGGCTTCCTGGAAAAACAGGATCAAGGGTCACTGGATCAAGGATCAAGGGTCAGTTCAAAATGATTCAAATAAATGAAATAACTTAATGGGCATGATTGATTGATCCCTCATGTGACTCAATCAAGATCTCTTGTATGCTCAAGCGAAAATGAGAGAGAACAAACGAAATCAGCACAAATAAAATATAATATATTAAAATACTGAAAAAGCCATACCACTTTCTGAAAGTGCTAGTTTTTGCCTACCGACTATTAGGACGGCTATTGAAGACTGACAGCTACAGAGCCGGTTCACCTCTGCATATGCTATTTTCACATGAAATTTCCAAATCATTCTGAATGTCATTATGTCATTGCATATCTGACTTCCAGTGTAATTTCAAAACACAAAGCCGTTTCTGGCAACTGCCGGAGTACATAGCAAATTTTTGGCTGCTTTAACTTCATCTCTTCAATTTTTTTACTGACCACATATCCTTTAAGGAAAAGCAGATGGAATGCATCTGAAGAACCACTAGCTTAGAAGAAGATGCTTTAGTTGTTTATATGATGGGATTTGATGAGAGACGTTACTTGACCATTGATTTGGAAAGTGATAAAGTTTCATTGGTCCACTGAGTTGTTGTTGTGAGTCCTCTGGAGTATAAACAGAAGCAACAAGTCAAAAATCTCAAGACCACACACTGGAGAATTGAATCAGTTCTCAGTCTTGCACAATTTTGTTTTGTTAAAGAAAGTAACTGAAGACTAATGAGGAAGAATTGTTTTTTCTTTTTTTGCCACCAATAAGCTCGGCAGGCAGAAAGTTTACTCCCACACTTTTGATCACTCCGATAAAATTAAGGACTTTGACAATTGCCGATTCTCTGTTTCTCCTCAGTTTCAACAGGGGAACTGCACTAACAGTTGAGCATGGTTTGCAAAAGCAGCAATGCTTACAAAAACTGGGATGATTTCGGTGATGACATTCCCCTTGTAGTATACATATAAATCACGTTTTCTGCAAGCCGCAATGATTTTTGGTGATTGATAGAGCATAACACAAGATAACACTGCTGTTGACAGACAGGCTTCGTTTTTTTGCCCTTCCCCCATCCGCTGACTTTCATGCTACCCTCAAGAACGCTTGATCACAAGTGAGATACGAAGATAGCAAACTGTCTATTCTTGATTCCAGTGCAGTTTTTGGGGACTTTCATTTTAAAGACAATCCAAACTTTTGTAATTTTATTCTTTCACTAGAGAAATGAAAAGAGAATTTTTTTTTGGTCATTCATGCAAACCTTTTTCTGCACCAAAACATTTGTAAACACAGCCATGGGAAAACAAAATCGTCATTATTTTCCAATTCTTTGCATTTCCACCCAAGCATTAGTCGATCTAACAAATAATTCCCAGGTTTTCTCTTAGACATTGAGCTGGATATTCCATCTGCTTGTGAAAAAGTAGTTAAACGAAAAAGTCACATTTATGAGTTAACTGACACCAAACAGACAACTGGCTGCGAGTCATTCGCACATCAGAGTGAAAATCTGTGATGTCATTTGTTTGCAGTGCTGAGGTTCGAAACAACACCTGTGGCTATTATCTTTCTAATTCGAGTATTGTGTTTACTGAAAATACTGTCAATATGGATTCGTTGTCATCTCCTCCTTAATTAATCCTTGATCCGGTAATCCAGTAATCCGGTGATCAGGTGATCTTGATCCAGTTTTTCTAGGAAACCCTCTTTCATGTAGTGTTTGTGAACTCTTGCAAACTCAGACAGAACTATCTTTTTTTGCAGATTGTTTGAAAAATGTATGATAAGACAATTATTGAATCTGGTTTTTGTATGACATCATGAATCATGAAACCTAGTGTCTATGTTATCTGCCTCAGCCTTCAGCCTTGGCATGTAACTCAGACCTCTGCATTCATTTGACAATTAATAATATCGTGCTCAACCTCATCCAATAACTGCTTAATAGCATTTTTCATTATCAGTTTCACAAAATGATAGATTCCATGTTGCCGTGCGTCTATTCATTAATAGATTACACATGATATTAAAATGTGGTAAGAACAAAATATGGCACACAAGGCACAGTTGAGAGTGTAACTGATATTCTTACCACATTTTGATGCCTCTGTGATCTATTCCTGAACAGACCCACTGCAACATGGAATCTGTTTGTTTTACACAGTAAAGAAGCAAAAATTGTGAATGGTGACATCGTCAATCTGTCTGTGCTCCAATAGGTCATAAGTAACAACCAATTACAATGTGTGCATGATGCAGCTTATTATATAGATTGAACCCTGCAGTATCTTCTTCAGGAACTTGATATTTGGTTTATGGTTCTATACCTTGTAAATCCACAGATATTACAGCTCCATGTTGGTAACCTGTCAAAAAGTCAATAAGCATTATAATAATAAACAATAATAAGGGGTATTCCTGAGAGTGTCATTGTAAAATATCAGCCCCATTTTAGAACTTCCCACCAAATTACCACACTATTTAAATCCTTTAATTCAAATGACACCCTATCATTTTGTATGCTATTTTGTATGAGACCTCTAAATTCTGTCATGCATTGCTATAGCACTTGCTCTAATTAAGAGATTTTATTATTTCCATACATTAAAGCAACTAAGAAGACTTGGAGTACCAACCAGATTTCTGTGATAACACTCTGTCAACAGCCACTTGAGTCCAAGAACCTAACCACAAAGTTAAGATCAATCACTCATCAAAAAATTATCATAACATGCTCCAGAATAACAAAACTGTTAATTCTATACCTGGGCTTGCACCACAGTCAATCACAACTTTTCCTGGTTGAAGGAAGTGGAACTTGTCATTGAGCTCAATCAATTTGTAAGCACTTCGACAGCGATAGTTGTCCTTCTGGGCCCTTTTTACATACAAATCCTATGTAAAGAAAGGATAAATTAAAATGTGCTTGCTTATTTGCACAACATTGTACTTAATCCAACATTTGATGAAGTAGTCTGATTGTCCAGGTAAAGGTTGTCCTCAAAAGCTCTTTTGTCTCTAAAAATGACTTAACCTAATTCATAAAATGACCCAAATTTAAAATCTGATACATTAACTAGGAACAGTCTTTTAAAACACACGTAAAGAACCACCTGCATCATATAATGACTTATTCACAACATCAACATAACCAAAAATCAAAACTGACCCATCACCTCTACAATATCATAGATGAGTATTGAACACAAATGAAAACATCATGGCAAGTATCTAACCAAATATCACATGAATTTTTAACTTTACTCAGATGACCTCTTTGACTCAAGCTGCTGAACTGTTCCTCAGTCACCAATACTAGTCCTTTTTTCAGGAGGACCCTCGGCCAGACAATCAGATAGGGAATGGGCTACATGTGAGTAACTCCATTTTTAAGTACTTATTCAGATAGGGCTATGGTTTTATAGGAGAGTAAAAATAAAAAATCACCACTTCAGCCCAACCACATGAACCACCACACTTCTGTTACATTATTGCAATGCATGAAGACAAAATATAAAACACTTATGATGGAAATAAATTGCTCGCTTACGGTTTGCTGTCTCTTAAGCCATCTTGATTGATTGCTTCCCTTGACTGCAGACCTCACCAATGTCCTGCAAAGTTCAAAAATCATATATTGCAGAGCTGTTCAAAGGGATCCACACATTCAAGGAATACACAGAGTTGGAAAATAGGACAGCACTACCTAAAGACTAATATCAGGATGGATAAGCAAAAGTCTGTACTAGAATGGATGTGGAGTTTTGTAACATAGCTAACAAATTCAGATACCCAAATTCAATAATGTGAACATGCTTCCTAATCCTATTGTGCACACTAACGATGTCAGCAAACAAATGCCCCAAGACTGAGACTGAATGTAAACTTCCTGACCAGTTAGGGTGTGAGTTTTGAAACTTTCAAGATGATTTTCTGGTTCATAACGATTGAGATAGACTTTTAGAAGCTTTAAATGAAAAGAAATGAAAATTAAATCTACAAAAGGATACTTGATTTGGAAAGTAATGGTCTTTTGAACTTTAAAGGTGACAGAAAGAGCTTTTCAGTGAACAATATTGCAATTCCCAAAGATGATCCAAACTATGGCTGAAAAATGAAAACTGAATTTCCTAAAAAAAGTGGAGCCTTGCCAATTTTTCACCATTTTCTCATCTGCAAATTATTAATTTTGAGTTTAGATATGCCTTCAAGTATTGTGCAACAGAAGATCTTGTTTCAAATCTGACAACTATCCAAATTTTCAACACAACTCTGGGCAATATTCTGGCCATGGAGTCAAGCAAATGAGAATTCAAGTATTGTGAAACTATTGCCCAGGTTACATATGACTGAACCTGACTTTCTGTGCTTCTAGATAGCATATTTGGTATTTATTTAAATAAAGCTTTAGTCTTGAAATATTTCAAAGTCATTTTTGCCTTTAAATACCAGGTTAATTGGTAAACCTGAAAAAAGTGCAAATCAACTTTGAAATCTGATTGCCAAGTATACACTGCAATTTTTGCCTAAAATTCTGATTTCTGAGAACATTTTGACTAAAACTCAAATTAACTTCTTTAGTTTGGGAATAAGTTTTTTTAACTATTTTAATTTCATTAGATCTTCTTTTGGTAAAAAATAATTGCTCTTTAGTTGGTGAAAGCAGTGAAATTTAATTTACAGAGTGAAAAATCATAATATCTTAAAAATATTGCAAGATATGACTTAAAGAATGCTTTGAGGGAGTTGTAGTGAGGAGCGAAAGGGGTCAAAATTGGAAAGGGCTCCAGCAGAGTGTTGAAGTTTTTAGCAGGCTTTTGTCGGGCATCTTGATTTGTATTTTTTTTTAAACATTGCATCTTGCACCACACAAAAAAAGAAGAGAATTTCTTGCACATTTCACACAACACTAAGAAATAAAAGTTTTCAAAGTTAAGTTTTTCTTTTTCCCTAGCTTGCTTTTCCTACCTTTCCTTCAGTTTTTCCCATACATTTTGGATTTAGTTTGATCCCCAGAAAATTTGTTTTCCTCATTTTGCTATGAGACCTTTCTGGCAAATTTCAAAGGAGTTCTTTGTCAGGAGGGTTCAATGGTGCAATTCATTTGTTGGTGGCATGAGAGCATTTAAACCCCCTTAAACTAGGTGTAAAAATCTGGAAATTTCTTTGAAGGCCAAAAACTCAAGGTTTGTTTGTTTTTTTTTGTGGGTTATCTATACTTAAATTAATTAATAGGGTATTTAGAGTTGTTGGATTTTCATAAATATCGGCCAGAATATTTTTCGAATATAAAAGCACCAAACTATGTGAGGCATTTATAAAATTTAGAATATTTCTCTTGTGATGTCCTGGGGCGTGACAACCACCAAAATATTTTCTATTATCCAAATTCAAAAAAATTTTCTCAGGAACCAATTGGAGTATTAAAAAAGCCTCCAATATTTTGTTAGCCTCTTATTTGCTGAGTGATACAATACAGTTTGTTTGGAGGTCCACAGTAACATGTAGGCTACAAATTCAGTAACACAACACTGTCAGTTTTGTGATTAAAGGCTTGAGCACTCATCAAAACAAAAACTGTGAAAATTTTTTTCCTTACTCTATACTACATAAGCTTTACAGTAAAAGCAGAGCTCACAGAGCATAGCCCCATAATTATGAAAAATAGTAGTAACCCATCAAGCCGAAAAAATTTGGATGTACGATGTACGTTGTGTGGTCAACTGTTCTGTGGGCATGCCAACGCAATGGCTTTGTTCAGTAGTCCAGTGGTCAGTGCACTGGGCTCCAAGTCAGATGAACCGGGTTCTAGTCCTGGCAGGGGCAAGGTGTTGTGCCCTTGAGACGTGCAGGAAAAAAAAAAAGCAAGCGCCACTTTTAGGCATGCTAAATCTATATATTAGCTAGTTTTCTATGGTTCCTTTAAAAGACAAAATATGACAAATTTTCCATAAGGCACCCTATTTTGTTGATATTAACCTTAAATTTTAAGAAAACAACATCCAAATTACTGTGTTGATAATGTCATATAACAATCGGTTCATATATCAGATGCACATTCATGAAGATCAAGAAGCTAGAGTTGCTCTCTGCTGCACCTTAAGCAACTTCGACACCTCTCTCCAAACCTCCCACAAACATCCATGACTCGATATACCCACGGTAAGCCTGAACCAATTCTTTATTGAAAAAGAATTCAGCTGTAATGACATTTTCATGTGTGCTAGGGTCTACAAGAAGGCACTGAGCTTACCATGTCAAGTAACACAAGTATAAAGTATTATGTGTCCTGTGTTAAATTAATTATGGTGGGTGTGGGCAAGAAGTCAGATGTTTCATTTAATTATAAAAAACCACTGAGGTATGTTAAAAAATAGAAACAGTATAAAATTTCACCCTGACCCTAATAGTAAAACTACATACATAGTTTCTCGTGATAGCCTATAATTAATTTAATTCCTTGGTATTGTTTGGAATCAAACGATGAAAATAAAAGTGATAAACCTACTTGAACACATCCTTCTGATGATCTACCGTTTATCTTTCTTAAAATATGTTTTCTTTCCTTTATTTCTCTAAAGAAATTAGAGAATCAAATTTAAACATATGTTTAATTTTTACGTAATTTCTTGTTTTGACAAGTTGTACATTACATGAAATCAAGTTGAACTCAGGTGAAATTACAAAGGTAACCGACAATGTCCGCTAGAAAAGGACCAGAAAGATTATTTACACGTTCAGAGAAATAAAAAACTAAAGGAGATGAAGCAAAAGTACCTTGCAATTCCTCCTATGTTTAGAAAAGGTTGAAGTTGGCTGCCTTGTCGAAGCATTGAAAATAGTATGTTATTAATGAAAGCCGCTGACCGAGATCACGCAATCTCCACCAAATATGGCTTGCTAAAACAGGCAAGGATGTCAATCATTGCCTTTTCATCCAATCAAATGTGATATTTACAATAAAAGCCGGCCCATTAGACCCGCAAAACTCAAATGTGCTTAAGAGAGCCTCAAAAATTTTTCAGTGATTTTCACGGCGAAATCTCGCTACAGTAAAGAAATATATCCATTTCTGAACTTAGGATCTTGCTGAGTACTAAAGGTAGTTTAGTCTGGCGAATTTTTACGAAATTCAACCCGGTATATTTGGAATAAATGGCCTCCGAAATGGGCATCTCAGCTCTCGTGGACTAGATGGTATTGGAGGAAGTCTATTGAAACATCACGGCATTGTAGGGTCCCTACGAGCACACGAGCTGGGTAAGCAGCGTGGAATTCTCTCGTTTGCTCCTAATATTTTGGCTCTTTCTTCAAGCCATTACAGCTTGGCTCGGGGTCTTCTTAAGATAATTCATCCAAGGTCTTGGATCTCTACTCACAAGAAGTCGTGGCCAGTTTACGCGCGCGTTGGGAGAGTTTCGCGATCGACCACCGTACTCTTTAGTTTGGCAGCTCCATGCCTCTGCTAAACAGAAAACCGTTTTCACCAACAAAACTACCTTCAGATCTGAAACCTGACGAGGAAGTCTTTGTTTGTCGCTATACAAATGAAATTTTTCGGGATTATAGGTAAATTGTGATCCTTCTTGTAGTATTTCTATATCCGGTGTACTCGCATTTATTTTGACGTTCACGGTTTCATGTACTGTTGAAAGACACCGCCATTTTTCCGTTTCAGGTCATTTTTCGAGCGGACAATTTTGTGCAGCAGCCTACTTTGGAGCTGTAAATATACTGGCAAGAGTGGATTAACCTACCAAGAGGCGCTTGAGTCGGAAAGGTCGATTAGAAAACAAGCCCATAGCCTCCCAGAGCCCATCCAGCGAGCGGCGCTGACTCTGGTCCACCACACTCAACGTGGTCGTTTAGCTAATTTATGCGATGAAGTGTTTTCCTATCTGAAAGATCGCTACCAGGAAGGCGAAGAAGTTGATATACACTACCTCTCGAGCAAGTAAGTATGTTTATTTCTTTTTGAAGGGTGCTTTTTAGAAAATGGGATCACATTTAGGGGGTGTGGGGCAGAATTTTGCATGGCATTGCTTATGGTGATCGCACCAAACCGTCGTAAGGTACGAAGCGTCACATGCCATCCAGCGGGCGTCTTCGTCATAGACAATACTGATCTAACTATAATATCACCTTTCTTTCAACAGTTCTCTTCTTTTTCCTCATCAGATAATTCTGGGTCTCTTAAACTGTGCAGGGGTGGGGTTTGGGGGGGTTATTTTTTTCCAGTTCTTGTCTCAAGGAAATTTAGAGAAATTTTTACTTAACTTAAGGAAGGCAGCCATTTTGTTTTAGTAGTCAGGCCCTGAAGTACCTTGGTTTTTGTTTATGCTGAATTTTAGCTTATTGAGTTTTTCAACATTTGGAGATGGTGATTAACTTTTTTGAGTGACAGCTGTCATAAAGTATCTTTTATTTTGTAACTTTTACACTTTTTCAACTTTTAATAGAATTTTGCAACATTGTCAACTCAAATATTTAGATGTTATTTGGCAATTAGTTGAGCTTAGTTATTATGCATGAAGGAGTAAATTTTTTCAATAATATAATTGGGGCTGCCATAGGTGTTCTGATATTTCTTGTAGTATAGATTAATAATAAAAAGTTAAATATTTATTTTATTAATAAATTATTATTATCCATAACTTAAATGGGTTAACATAATTATTTTTTATAAATTTAGCTACTAGTAATGTGTTTAATGATAATATTATATTTTAATGATACTTTCAACACTTGAGAAATTTATGTATGTTCTTTAAGTGAGGATTACCAATGAGACTTAAGATGTTAGGAAAAGATTCAAATTTATCATGGCATTTTGATTTTTTTAACCTAGAGGATTGTTCACTGAATATTTCCTTGTCTCTCTAGATACTGAAATCCTTTTTATTTTTTTTAAAATGCAGGTAAAAGAAACAGATTAAGAAAAGCAATAAAATTATGACCTAATTAAATCTTTTATGTTTTGAAATGACCATTCTCTAATTGTGTTTTTGGCCTTTTGAATTATTTTTTTGTGTCATGAAAACTGAAGAAAATTTTGTGTCTCTATTGTTGATTTGTTTGATTTGGGTATTTTTTGTTTGTTTAAGCTGTCCTCTGTTTTTCAATGAGACCTTGTCCTTATGGCTTTCTGGTTATATTTTTCAATCACACTGCTCTGTTTTTTGGAACACTGTTTGAAATTGTTTTCTTTGTGGAAGTTGCTTAAATTGATGTTTGTTGACTTCAAATTAAGCATAATACAAGCAGAAGTCAATGATTACTTGATCTAGTTATAAGATTTGGTCTTTCAGTTTTCTGTTGCTCATTTTTATTCACTTAAAGCTGGTTAACTCCCAAGATTCATTAGAAATCCTCCTTACTGTCTGCCATACAGTTCTTGTGATGTTAGTTTTGAGAATTTGGTGTTGGATCAACTAATAATTCTCTACCTGATATTTTTTTCTTAATTCTCATGACTTTTCTGCTTGATATGGTATTGATATCATAAGGAGAAATTCTTAGTCACTTATGGGAGTTAAAGGGTTAACGAAATATGTTTTGCTGCTGAGAATGGAAAATTTCTGCAAACAGGTTGCCATAAAAAAATGGCAATATCTAATTATGTTGATTATCTTTAATTTTCAGTTGTTTTGAGATTTTTAATTACAGTATTTCCTGAAATAAATGCCTGGGCCCTTTTTTAAAATTTAGGCAGGAGGGAGGGGCGCTTATCAGAAGGAGGATCCTTAGAGATTAAAAACCTCATGGACTTGATAAGCCTGGTATCAAAAGTATTTTGTGGCTGATCAGCAATTTCATGAACAGTGCTCTACTTTACTTTGGTTACTGCCCTTAAATGTACACATATTAGTGTATAAGTATGTAACAGTCTGAGAGTTGAGTTCTTAATGATCTCACCCTCTTGAGATCTAATCACACTTCCCTGTCTTGAGTACCAATTATGTGCACTTCCTTGTATGTTATTGCTGAGATTTTAGTGCTGGCTGGAAACACTATCTTCTAGATGTCAAGTCTGTTTGTCCTGTCTGTTAATTAACTTAACTGTTTGTGGGTGCTTTTAGGAGAGGTTACTGTAAGAACCCACAGATAAGCTGCACCTTTTTTCCAAAAATCATTGCTAGAAATTGGGGGTGTGGCTTATCTGCGAGAACATTTCCATTTTCGCATCCGATCTAGTGCCTGGTTACCAAGCTTTGAATGTTCCACTCACATTCTTGTTGTAATGCAAAAATCTATGGAAAAACTGTGTTGAATGAAGAAATTCATGTCAATATATACCAGAAAAAGATTGGTCGTATGTCAAAGTTGGTAGAAACAATATTCATTAGTGCTAAAAGTGCTAAAATTGTGGGTGAGACTGAAGTATTTTCCATTGCAATGTTAATAGTGAGTTTATGTTTGATGAACAGTGGATGAAGAAGACTTCTCAAGACTCAACTTTGGATTTCTTTTGATTTCTTTAAAAAAACTTTTTTTCCAAAATTTGAGCTGGAAATTCAGTGTGTGGCTTATCTGCGGGTTTTTACAGTATATGTTAATCACTGTCTTCTAAAGGTGAAGGGGTTAATCTCTGCTTACTTGCTGAAATAGGAACTCAAATTGATTGGTTAACCCTCTAAGCCCTAAGAGTGACTACCATCTAATTCCTCTTTACAATATGACCACTCAATCAAAAAAATAAAGATCATGAGAATAAAGGAAATAATCACCAACTAAGGAAACTCTTGATTGTTAGAAAAATTCTCCTTCTCAGCACCATGGTAAATGTACAGAGAACAGTATGGAGAATATGAATACTGATGTTAGGGTGTAAAGGATTAAGATGGACATCTTTGTTTTGTATTTTCTTTATTAGGAAGAGAGGCATTATAACCAGGGTTATTTCCCCTTATGAGCAAACAAGCCAGGCAACGAAATATCAAAGCTATCCAAGTCATGGATCAAAGCCAGGGAAACTTCTCTCTCCAAAATCAAGAAAGCAAAGCCAATCTGGAGGAGCTTCACAGTCTCCTACATCTAAGCATCGTAACAGCAGTTCTGATCGAACACCTTCTAAAGAAAGGAAAAGTAGTTCTAGTAGCTCAGACAGCCAGCCTTTATCTACCCAATCTAAAAAGTACAATTCAGAGGGCAAGTCTACTAAATCTCCAACTGTGAAATCACCAAGGAGGAGCATTGATGAGGAATCTCCATCAAAACATAAATCACAGAAACTTAGTGAAGAAAGTTCAGGTCAAAAGACTCCTAGCAAATCTAGAAAGCTTTCATCTGAGGGAAAAAGCATGTCATCTGGCAAAGCTATAAGTGATAAGGCTACAAAAAAGGCATCTACACCCTCCTCAAAGAAAGGCAGGGAGGAGAAGCTCACTTCTCCAAGGAGCAAGCAATCTTTTGAGGGAACTGCAACAGAGTCACCAAAACCCAAAACACCAAATACTGGTAAAACAAAAAGTTTTGAGGGTGAAATTGTCATTATTGATGATGACAACAATAAAGGAGATAAAAAGACTTCTCAAGGAACTTCCCCAAAGTTATCATCTCCCAAAGAGAAGCCAGTGTATAACTGGCCTTCTGCAGCTCTTTACAACTATGAAATCAGAATTCAGTCAGATAAAAGGGACAAGGGATCAAAGAAAAAGGATGGTCATGTTGAGATTATCATCGTTCAATCATCCATGGTCAGGTAATGAACTTATAATGGTTAATTTCATTTGTGTGACATTCAGTAATGTTTGAATTGATATGTTTCCTTTAACAAGTGCCCCAGGTATTTACCAAAAATTTGTTTGTTTTTTTTTCCATGTAAGGAGAGGTGAGGGTATAGGGAAGTTGTAGCTTGCAGGTTTTATGTTTGGTTATATCATTTACAAAGCATTTACAATTCACTCTTAAGCCTTGTTTATGAATGTAAAATGGGATGTGTCAGGAAAATACATTCTATCTTCAACCCTTAGACATCAGAGGTCTGAGAAGAGTTTTCTCAAATCTTGCCCAAACAAACTTCAAACATTTCAAGAGTGGATTCAGAAGACCAAGGGTAGAAGTATGCTTCCACCTTATGGGTTCTTGAGAACTATTTTCTGTGGATCCCAGTTTGTTTCATTGTCTACTTTGAATAACTGACTGCTTACTCAATGCTGTTTCTTGGTCAGTCAATAATTGAATTGAATCATGTGACAAAAAAAATTAAGCTCATACCACAGTCAACTTGGCATGAAATCAAAGCAATCTAAACTGCAAATACACACTAGGATTTGTTGCCTGGTCAAGCCTGTGCTCTTGGGTTTGGAGTCCTCTATTCTCAGTGGAAAGTGCCAAAACTACATTTGCCCACAAATGAAGCATCACATATTGTCCTATTAGTGCAGTTATTTATTGAAAATGTACACATGCATATACACCTCAGTGGCACCTGATTAGTACATGCTTTTCTATCACATTTTTGTACAAGATGAAAACATCACCAATTCTTTGTTAGTGATCTTGACTTCTGAGGTTTTCCAAACATCAGTCACCATCAGTGACCACATTCCTTTTCAGCACCAATTTAAGTAAGACATTCAGACTCTTAAAAAGGACTCACATGACTTCACATTAAAACATCTCGTTTTTTTTTAACAAAAATGTTTATCACTGCTCAGTGTGAAATTTTTTCCTATGTTTCCATTTATTATTTTATCATCTGATTTTTTTTCTCAGTCGTAGAAAGGGTGTGTTCACAAGAGACAAAGTGAAAATGTTCCTTAAGATTAGCTGTGAGAGGAGTACTCCCCATTCTGAAGATGGTATCTATATTGTTCAGGTGAGATATCTTACTTGATGGTGCATAAAAATTGCACAAAACAATTTTGGCTGTTTCCTCTTATTTGTCACATTTTACACTTTACCTGCATACCTTCCACTTGTGTTTTTAGAGAACATTTCGGCAGAAGTTTGATTTGGGTGAACCAGACATTCCACTGAAGCTTGCCTCTCCTCCAAAGGACAAGAAACAAAAGAAAAGAAATATCTCTCGCACTGTGCAAGATGGAGAGGGTGAGCCAGCTAAAAAAAAAAGGAAAAGAAAGAAGGATGAAGAAAGAAAGAATGAAGGAGGAGTTTCTTCCAAAAAGAAAGGAAAGGTAAGATAATCATTTAGGAAATTGAGTGAAATTGAGAGAAACTGAAAGAACTTATCTCCATGACACATGATAGTTTTCCTATGTTTATTTTAAATTTGGGCCATGGTGGGAAGTTATTCTTATTACAAGCTTCCATGAAAATGGAGTCAACAATCTCAATATCATGTGTTGTTGCAGTTTGCAGCATTCAAATTTTAAATTAGTTTTTCAAAACTATAACCTGTCATTCTCAGAACTAACTTTGAAATATTTGACCCACCATTTGCATACTTAACTTTACTGATCTATTGGCACACCTGTCTGAATCAACAAAAAATCTTGCCTAACTTGCGTTACACTTGTCCCTGCAAATGGTATTGGCTCATGTACACAAATTCATGTACCAAACTTTCCATCAATTCATTAAAATAATAAGCCATAAGGCTGACTAAATTTAGCAAGAGGTTAGTCAATTCACTTTTTGAAATTTCAAACTTAGAAATTAATTGGTTTTGACAATGAGATCAAACCAGCTCTTTTCATGGGCTTGAAGTTTTTTAATTATATTGCAAAATCACTTTTGCTGGTATATAAATGGATGTTTCAAATTGATTCAACTTGTCCTTCATGCTATATTCAAAACACTATTCAAACACTAACCTTAATAAATTTGTCAGCACACAGATACATGAATCAATAAGAAATTGCACCTAACTGTAGCTCAAACTAGGTCACTATTAGTTAGTTTGTATTGATGACATCGTCATTAAGATGTTGTCATGATGAACACAATTGGCAGGTGGCGAAACAACAAAAATCAAATTTCATCTCAGAATCACTAACAAATCAGGTGTTGTTCTCAAAATTGCTGCAAAGCACGAAAGGCATTAAAATTGAATTTAAAAAATTATCATTGGAATGGGGGTGTGTTTGGGGGATAAGTTCTCAGATTATAATCTCTTGTAAACAGCCGTTTCCATCAAGGAAGCTTTCATTGAATGAAACTTCCACCTTTCATAGTTTTGGCCCCTATGCCTATAATATATAGATTTAGCCAAGCCTAAAAGTGGAGCTCGCATTTTTTTCCCCCCATATGTCTCAAGGGTACTGCTCGTGGTAGAGTTGACCACACATGTTGAAAGTAGCACCTTGTACGGCTGTACAGTCATACATCCAAATTTTTTCAGCTTGATGGGTTACTACTATTTTGTATAATTATGGGGCTACACTCTGCGAGCTCCGCTACCAGTACCAATGGGTGTGGCGCTATCTTAATATTACTGCATAGTGGGACATGGCAAAGGTGGTGCATCTGTTGGAACTTGCAATGTCCAGGACACCAAAATATCTATTAATTTACCGTGTTAGTAATCCACTATTTTAGAACTATTTCAGGAATTTTGTAAGTGGAAATGAATTTTGATATCTCAATAAATTTCAGAAGGAGAAGGATAACAAAGACAAGATGAAGCTGCCACCTGAGGAGTGGCGCAAAATCATGGAACAAGAAAAAGAAAAGAGAAAAAAACAGTTGGAAGAAGAAAAAGAAAAAAAGAGACTGGAAAGAGAAAGGGAAAAAGCTGAGAACAAAGCCAAGAGAGAGGAGGAAAGGGCGGTGAAGAAGATTGAAAGAGACAAAGTGAGGGCAACAATGTTTCATGTACATTTTAACTAGATTGCCTCTTTACTTATGTAATTATGTCCTGTTACCTGCAGGTTTGTGTGATTTTTGGTGCTACGCTGTACATGTATTCAAGAGATACACAAGTTATTTGTTATTGGATAGAGATGTAGATATCTGCCTTTCAAGTTTGGTAAATTGATTTAAATGACCTTAGTTGGCAACACAAAGAATTGTTTGTTGGCTTTAGTTTCCCAAGGCATCATCATGAAATGTTATTGATCTTACATGCAAATTATTTCAAAAGGAAGATACATTAGATTACATTAGATTGGCAATTTTATGGAATTTTTTCGTACTATGGACTAGAATTCCTAAACATTTTGAACCAGACCTTGATTTTTCCTTTTCGTTTGGATATAACACTCTCCAGGGAATAACTGCTTGTAAATTTAGTGTGCTCTTCAGGGAATAGAGATCATGTCATCCACCTTTCCAGTGTATTATGGCCAGGCTGAAACCTTTTACTCTTAGAGGTGATTCACTGGTACATATAACTTTTCCCTATGATACGAGGTTATTATTTGTGAAGCAGGGAAGAATAGACGCATTAATCACCTACAGTAGCAGGTGTTATGTTGATGTTATATGAAATTCTCTTTTAAATGGTAGTATATCGCAGGTAAATAAGAGTTGATAATCAGATCTTTTGGGGTACACAATAATATTTTCCTTTTATCTGTTATGTATTTTTTTTGTTGTGATTTACAGGAGCGTGAAAGACAAAAGGAAGAAAAGAGATTGGAGGCTATACGACTGAAGGAATGGAACAGACCAAGAGAAGATCTAGAGTTGGATGATTTGAAGGTTTGTGTTTCCTATTCTCTTGGAATTGTAGATTAAATGATCCTATGGGGTCTTAACCCTTTTACTCCCAAGATTTCTTCTGTAATTCTCTTATCTGTCTGCCATACAATTCTTATGAGGTCAGTTCAGAGAATTTGGTATTGGATCAATTAACATTCTTTAATTGATATTTTTCTTTATTCTCATATATATATATATATATATATATATATATATTTATATTTATATCAGTATTACGTGCTCAATACATTGAAGTTGACATGAATTGAGTTAGGGAAAAAAAGGAGACCATGCCTCATCCCAACATGTGTTTTTGTGATTAAATCACTCTCCAGGAGATTTTAATGGCAAAAACATTTGTAACCATTGTTGAAATACTATAAAATTTGCATCATAAATGTGTGGTAAATTTAGATGCTTTGTTCAGCTGTTACAAAGCAACGCTTTGTTTCTGTGATGGTGTGCATATTATAATCTGTTCATTGATCTTTTTATTTATTCTTATCCTTTGAAATTGTATTCATTTGATATTCTTAGTAGAGAACACTTCATCCCGACAAGTCCTTTTTTGTGATTAAATACACTCCAGGGGATTTTAATGGCAAGAACATTTGTAACCATTGTTGAGATACTATAAAATTTGCATTATAAATGTGGCGGTAAATTTAGATGCTTTGTTCAGCTGTTACAAAGCAATGCTTTGTTTCTGTGATGGCATGCATATTATAATCTGTTCATTGATCTTTTTCTTTATTCTTATCCTTTGAAATTGTATTAATTTGATATTCTTAGTAGAACTTTTCTCTTGGTCACTCATGGTAGTTAACCTTTTGACCCCTAAGAGTGACCAGCATCTAATTTCTCCTAACAATATCACCCCTGAATCACACATTTATGTTACAAGAAGAAAGGAAATGATCATCACCAAAAGAAGCTGTCAGCTGTCAGCTGTCATGCTAAATAAGAATATGCATGCTGATGTTAGGGTGTCAAGGGTTTAGGCTTGCATTGGTTGTCATGCATTCACCTTGTCAGTGTCATATAATGCTCAAAAGCTTTCTGTCTCTCATAGTGCAGTCTTTCTCGTTCCCATGTAATTTGATTAAAAAGAATTAAAAACAGAAGTGATCTGTTGGATTTTGTTCTATTGAATGGATGGTAAGGTAGATAATTGGCTTTGAAATATAAATTTTAAGTTTCTTACTCTCGCAGATGTTGAAACATTTTCCATGAAAGACAAAAAAAAACTTTTGATATTTTTATCTGACTTTTGCGATTTCTTTAGTAACAAGGACATCAGGAACTGTCCTTGAATAAACAAAAAAAAACTATCTATGAGTTGATTATTCAACAGATTTAATTTATCATATTTGATCTACAGGATCTGCCTAAAACTATTCCAGTCTCCATCAAACTTTCATCCAACTTGTTTGGAGATATGATGATGGTCTTGGAATTTCTCACTGTCTTTGGAAACCTGTTTGACATCAGAGATGAATTTCCTAATGGTCTTACATTTGGTGAGAAGACATATTTTATAGTGTTGTCAAGTACTTCCTAGATCAGCCTTACTTGCTTGCAATCTATATGGGAGAATAATTTTAAAAAAATTTATCTCGCTTTTAATTAAAGCAATTGGAAAAATTTTCTGCACAGAGAGTGCTAAAGAAATTGATTAGAGGTAATTTTGTACAAGTTACCCCCCAAATATTATTGTTTGTGATTAAGATGAAAAACAATGATTGTCCTATCCTATGTTACATCCCTTTACCAACTAAAAGAAACAAGTAGTTAAAAGTGGCAAGTTGATGTTGATAAATTGCCTTAACATTTCCCAAACTTCTTAATGACATTCTTCACTAGCCTTTGAGCCTCTGAGTTTATTTATTCATGCATTTGCTTTCTTCTTACTTGTATGATCAAAGCTATGTTAGAAGAGGCTCTGACTGAACACGATGCAGAGGGTGTTTACTATGATTTGCTGTTGTTCTTGTTGGGAGCAATACTTCGTACTCACTTAGAGGAAGAGGAGGAAGAAGGCTTGGATGGCACTCATGAGCATGAACCTGTTATGGATCTTGAAGATGATGGAAATGAGAAATCTCAGGCAACAGTGTCAGCTTCAGCCACAATGGCAGCTGCTTGGCCAATGCAGCACCAAGGAAAACCTCTCCATGAATTAATAATGGACCCCTTCACAAGTTCTGAGCTGCTGAGATTGCATTTGTTATCATCTGGTGCCAGAATAGGTATGCAAACTGACTTGATGATTTTGAAAGATAAATTCTTCAATGGAAATTATGTGATTTTGTAGCATTTGCATCATCATAGGTGAAGCTTGTTTGTATAGGTAACAGTGATTGCATGGGGCCAAGTGAAATTAAGGAATAATAATATGCAAGTTTTCAGAAGTTTCTGTAGAAACATGCAATTAGATTTTAATAAAATGAAGTGTAAAAGTTTTCTTTTAATAACCCTTTAACTCCTGTGAGTGACCAAGACAGAATGTGTCCTTATAATGTCAGTACAATCTCAAGCAGACAAGTGATGAGAAGAAAGGAAAGTGTGAATTGAGGAATGTTAAACCAAATTCTCAGAACTAACATCATAAGAAATATATGGCAGACAGTAAGGAGAATTACTGGTGGTGAAAGGGTTAAGGGTCAAGAAGGTCAAAAACACATGCTGTTGTCCAATTTCTTAGGAAGCCATTTCAGTGTTCAGTTAGGGTCAGTGAACTGTAAAACACACAATAAAATGTTATTTTAGTACAGTGACACCAAAGTAATTAAACCAGGTCTGTTAAAAAACCATCTGCCATTAATGAACTTGTAATACTTTTAGGTAAAGTTAAGCCTTTTTCAGTGTTTTCAATTTCAAGTTATATTCCCTGGGGAAATTACCAAAGTTAAAGAAAATGCCCTCTGTCTTAGTCAGTCAGCCAGAGGAACAATAAAAAGATTGTGACTGATTATTTACATCCATCGGTAATATCTCTCATTACGTTAAATTTCCACAAGTGTGCACCACTGAATAGGCATTGCCTGAAATAGTTGCATGAGTATTCAGAACTTTGTAATATTTCATTCAATTTAGAAAAGATAGTTTGTTTTTATGATTAAAAATTATTTTACTGACCGTAAAATCTGAAATTTTAAAGCCTTTGGCATATAATGACTCATTTAAGAGGCACAGCATTACTTGTTCTGTGCTTATTTGACAAACAAAGTTACACTTCCATATCAGTAGTTCTCATAGCTTGAAAACAGTGATCTCAAAGGGGCAACAGTACAGTACAGTACGATGTAAGTAAAGCTTCTAAATGTATGTGTGATTGCTTAGAACAGCTGCGCAATTGTTCTCTTGTTGGAGCTCAAATGTACCAAAACAGTCTGTTACTGATAACAATCTATGATTGGAGTCTTATTTGCCTACATTGCACATGTATGTTGACATTTAGACTTCCTTCCTTCATCCGTAAGGTTGTGGCGAGTCATCTTATCGCTGGCAGCGTCGCGGTGGATTTACATACAGTGATGACGCTGGAGTAGAATTTCGCCATGCTGAACCTCAGTTATTAAAATCCTTGGTAACAGGGAATATATATGATATGGCTGCTGAAGACAAACTCAAAGTCCTTGTTTCCCTGTGTACTCAGTTGATAACATACGCAACAGCTAGAGACTATATGGAAGAAGGATTTGATCAGTGAGTGGATTAGGGTTCTAAATGATTTAATGTTTTAAAAACAGTTTTTCAGTCCAGTACACAGTTGAATGATGCTATCGTGACCTAACTTTACCTTTACTTGTACTCGTTGTGCTTCAGGTGCCGTAAGGTTCGTCGGGAGTGGCAGGAGGACCAGTGGGCAGATCAGCGGAAGGAGAAAGAGGAAGCTGCTGCAAGGTATCGGCGGAAGCAAGAGGAAAGACAGCGGCAGAAAGAGGAGCTGGAAAAACGGAAGAAAGAGAAGGATCAGGAGAAGATTGATGCTGCAAAAGGAGACTCCAGGTAAAATCAACTTTGAATATGAATTAGAAACCTAAAGATATGATTGTAACCGTGATGGTGAGTGCACTTTACTTCATGATCGGAACTCGTAAGGAAAGTGCGGTTTCATTTTCTCTTTAAAAGCATGATAATGAATTTACTTTTTTCAACCATTTTGAGTATAACTTACCTTGTGTAGAATGCATGTAAATGTATTTACAAAGCTCCACAGAGGAATTCCTAACGCAGATTAAGATAATAATCCTCGGGAGCTCGTAAGTGTAACCTTGATGATATCATTACTGGTCCAAAATAATACGGGAGAAGTTGCTACAAGACTAAGAATGCATTGTAAAAACATTGGCATTGATTGCATTGCAGGTGCTGACCTTTAATTAACTGTGTAGTCAATGTGTAAGAAGATGGACAGTACCTTCACCAAATCTTTTGTATGTGAAAAATTTTATGTTTTATTTTTCAGTCCAAAAGTCGAAGATGGAATTAAGAAAGTCTCAAAACAGGAGGAAGGAGGTCAAGAAAAGAAAGGAGGAAAGAAACCTCCCAAAAAGAAGGACGAAAATGAGAACACTTCTCAAGCAAGTGAAATAAAAGAACCAACGACCACAGATAGCACAGTTGACGGAAGTAAAGGTACGGCAGACAAAGAAGGCAACACAAATAAGACTCCTGTTTTAACTAAAGAGGAGGAAGAGGAGTTGGCGCAGCAGAGACGTGAAGAACGCAAGAGGAAGGATCAGGAATTTATGAATCAATTGGCTAAAGCAGTATCTAGAAGTGCAATCCAGCCACTTGGACGAGACAGAGTCTACCGGCGATACTGGGCATTCAAATCATTACGAGGACTGTTTGTGGAGGATGATGACCCAGATCAACATTTGCTTTTGGAGCCAGAGTCTGAGTCCGAATCTGAGGTAAGTGCTGATGGATGTCCTCTGGGGAGATAATGTTAGTGACACGTTAGGCTTTGACCTGGAAGGTAGGCTGTTACTGGGTAGTTTTGCTTGGAGCGCCGTCAAATTCTAAATTTTTTTCCTGGCCTTACTTTCTACAGTTTCTGTAATTGTAGTGTACCCCGTTAGGTCCACAGTAAGGATGAATATGTCATTTATCATCCAAAGGTCAAATAAATTATATTTTACTCATTTTGGGAGGAAAACAAGTAATTTTTTTTCTTTTTAGAATAACGAGGAAGTAAGTGATGAAGAAGGGGAAGAGGAAAAAGAAGAAGAAGAAGAAAAAGAGAATGGAAACTTGTCATTAGACTCGAACAATTTAGTTAAAACGAAGAAGCAACAGAAAAGTTTAGTTAACGGTGATACAACACTGAAGAATGAGTACTTCGAGCGAAAAGCTATGAACATGTTTAAAGTTTATGATTTAGCTAGAGAAGCATCTGAAGATGAAAACTGGAGCGAACTTTACAGGAAACGATCTGTGGCAAAGTGGTCTTACTTCGCTTCTAGAGAAGACATAGACGGTTTGTTAGAAGCTTTGAATCCACGCGGATTCCGCGAGAGACTTTTGAAAGATGCAGTTCAACAAGAATACAAACAGCTTACACTTTCTGTGGACAAGTGTCCGTTGAAAGCCGATCTTCAGGGTCAGAAAAAGGAGTTCAAGCCCAAAGGAAGGCGAGGAGGTCGAAACCAGCCTACTGTGGATAAGTCGCGTTATAAGACAATGGAGGAGTTCATTGAAGCGAATTTACGTGATCAGATACTTGACCTAGAGGACAGAATATGGCAGGGTGGACTTGGTGTTATTAAGAATACAGACCGTGAGGCGTGGAGAGCTAAAGTGGAGAATGGTATTTATGATGATATTAACAAGACTCAGACCAAACATGCCAGCGATGAGTGTAAGGTGAATGGAGTCAGTGATGTCAAAGAAAATGGCGATGCACAGTTTATGGAGCTTGGTGAAAGTGTCAGAGAGATTAGTGAGCTTAATGAGGACAACAAAGGGGAAACATTGAGCGTGAAGGAAGAAAAGCCAATGGTTTATGATGATGAGGAATTGCCAGTTGTCAATGGAGTTAAGGATGAGATTAAACAAGAACACAGCACAGGTAACTTGATCTTTTTTAGTATTGTTGTGTTTTGATGTTAGACAGGACACTTAACTCCTATGGTCCCCTCTCCCTTTTGCTGGAGGAGAAATTGGTACCGTCTGACTCTAAAGGTAGCCGGACCCATAGTCTAGCGTTGGGAGTAACTTACAATTGACCATTTCCCATTCAGGTAGAGTTGTAATTGTTTCCGTCGCTCGAGACCGGAATGAACTCCCACTCCTATTTGTTTCACAAGTTTTACATTCCAATGAACTTGATATCCTGTTGTTGAAATTCGGGCTTTTTCGTCTTTCGGTCTTATTTTTCTTTACAGTAATCTAGGTAAGGTATCATGCTTTGGCTCTTACGCGATAAAGGTCCACGTGTAACCTAAATTAAAGAATAAGTGAACATGCGTTCTTTGGAATTTTTTACTTCTCATTCACAGCATTCCTTGCAGGCATTCACTTAGTTGAAAAATGGACCTTGTCTTTGTTGAGGTGTCAAGAGGCAAACGTGGAAGTCTTTTAAGTTTTACCTGTTATAGAATATTTCGCTTTCGCCCCCGTTTCAGTTCCCGAAACTTTCACGACTGTTCTTTTCTTTTAATTATAGAATCCGTGGATGGCGTTAAAGTGGAAGTCAAGCCAGATGAACGTTCATTTACAGCTGTTCCATTTCATCTTCAGCTCAGTAGCCGCGCTTCATCCCCAGCGGCAGACACTCGGTGCAGTACGCCCACTCTTAGCTTAGTTGTTGGACCTGTGGCAGTCAACCCCGCTGTCAAAGAACTTGCGCGGGAACTGCTCAAAGTAAGAGGAATTTTGTAAGAGATAAGGCCGGTCTTAGCAATGATATGTCGGTCAAGCTAGGCGAATTTTTAATATTGCCGGAATACGAGGATGAATGGCTTTTCCTGACTGCGTAATGTGATTATTCATAAAATATTTCGCCACCTTCATTGCAAATGAGATTCAAGACTTAGTTAAGGGCGACGTAGTTACTCACATTCTCTCGCACTTTGGGCAGTTTATTAGCCCTTACGTAGTGTGCGAATTGACTTCTTGTGATATTTACTATTTATCTGATTGGTCATTGTGTGTACCATGGGATCGCCTAGCGTAGCCCTTGGCAACGCACGCACAGTTAACGATGTTTTAGTCCGCACTCCTCATCAACCCTGAGTAATAGAAGTTAGTGGCCTCTTGCGGTTTAACTTTTACCGACTCGCGTTTCATATTGCTGTGGTCGACTAGTTAGAACAAGTTGTTTTTGACGAGCGTACAATTTCAATTTCGTCCGTTTAGCAACAGAGGAATAGAGATTGAATATATTTCCTACGTGTCTGTTAGACTCTATTTGGCGCTCTTAATTCGCCCTTTCTGATTAAGCTAATTAATGTCTTAAACTTAACAGGTGGAGCAAGGCATAGAGAAAAAGTATCTGAACCCACCTCTTGGTGAGGACGAGGAGACCAAGCGACAGAGACAGAAAGAGGCGGCTGCCGCGGCTGTCAGCGAGTTCAACGAGATGATGAAGGCTGCAGAGACTAAGGAGAAGCAGAAGAAAGACAAGAAAAAGAAGCAGAATGGTGGAAGTGGAGAAGATGCCAAGAACAACGAGGAGAAGAAAGGCGAGGATGAAGGAGAAGAGGGAAGAGAAGACGACAGGAGCTGTAGTTCGTCGGAGGAAGAGGAGGAGGAACCCGTAAAACAGAAAACATGTCTGGAGAGGTGGGAGGAGTCCCTCCTTGTGTGTACAAATTTGTCGCAGGTGTTTGTGCATTTGAACACGTTGGACCAGTCCATTGCCTGGAGCAAGTCTGTGTTAAACGCTCGGTGTCGACTCTGTAGGAGGAAAGGAGATGCGGAACACATGCTGCTGTGTGATGCCTGTGATAGGGGTCATCATATGTACTGCCTCAAACCACCTATCAAGGAGGTATGCAACAGAAAAGTGTGCACCATCATGCTGATGCTGAACGCTCAGCGCGTCGTTTTGTTTTTATTAACATGTTTGTCTATCGGGTTACATTTTTCTATAATAACTTTGGATGCTTTGCATAGTAGAAGCTTTCTCCTTTCTAATGAATGAGTCAAACTTAAAATTCACTCTCTTACTTGGTGTTTTTCAAGTCTAATTTAAGATTTTCAGGCATAATGTCTCAACGAATCTCATAGTTTTCCTTTTACAGCTCAACTGTTGTTACAGGGTTACGAAATTGAAAGTGACCAATCTACTTGCGGATGACGAGCGATCTGTTCCAGCTACTTGATTGGCTTTGTACCGATACAACATTTGACACGGTTGACAGTTTTTTATCTTTGTACGTTACTGTCAACAAAGTAGGGTGCCTCACGAAAAATTGGTTTTACGCGCGCTACTTTTGTAGAACTATGGAAAACCATATATCACTGTAAAGCTTACAAAGGTGTTTTGGTAGGCGCGCTCAAGCCTTTAAACACAACACTGACGGTGTTTGCTTTACTGAATTACCAGCTTCCGTGTTACCGCGGACCTCGAAACAAACTGGACAGTATCACTTAGCAGATGATAGGCGACCAAAGGACAGGAGGCTTTTTCGATATTCCTATTACGAGAACGTGTTGTGAGGTTGGACAATAGAAATAATTTCGGTTGTTGTCACGCTCCGGGACGTTACGAGAGAAATAATTTGAATTTCGTTAAAGCCTCCAACACTTCTGTGTGTTAATACCTGACGAAGATTCTGGCCGATTTTCATGAAAAGCCAACAAATCCACAAACCCTATTAATTCGTTTAAGCAAAGGTTTAAGCGCGTGTCAATGCGGTCACTCCGGGACATCGATCCCCCGACAAGTCTTGCAACAAGGAACTTAAATTCGCGGGGAAGGTCATTTCGCGAAACAGGGAACACGAATCAAACTAAATCCAAAATTCAAGAAGAACTTAATTTCGATTTCTTTGGCTCGGGCTCTCTTGCGACTTTTCTCGTTTTGGTCGTTGATGAAAACTATTATTTCTTAACGTTTTGCGAAATGTGTAGTGCAAGACGCGATGTAAACAAAATATGCAAATCGAGATCCTGGACGAAACCCTGCGGCAAACTTCAACACTCTTCTGAAGGCTTTTCCGATTATGACAACTTTCATTCTTCCAGCCGTGTCTCGCATACTTTTTTAAGACAATTTTTGGCGCAAATTAAACTTACGACTTTCTCCAACTGAAGAGCAGAAAACGAAATTTTGAAAATTTTGGAAAGATTTTGGTGACAGTAACCTTGATCTTGATAAATCGAACCATTTTCGGTCAAGAATGATAAATGACATCCTTTGGCAGCCTGCTAGTGTTCCTTTTAATGTTACCAATGTACAAAATCTTTGTATAGTTCGTTGTTGAAGTAATATCATTCTTTGCCCAGGTTCCTGAAGGACAGTGGTTTTGTGGTGACTGTCGCCCCAAGGAAACAAGGCGCAGCGAGAGAAAGAAGAAACCCACGGCTAATGATAAAGATCAAGAGGAAGAAAATGAACAGTCAAACGAAAAAAAGGAAGAAAGCGAGGAAATTAGTGACGAGGATGAAGCCGACAGTAAATCAAACAGTTATCAGGATGAGTCTGAACAAAGTAAGTTTTACAGGGTTATACTTTTTTCGTTCAATTTGACATGGTTATTGTCATTCACATCACGGTGTGTGAATACATCGACCATTTTCTATTTCGTTGTTTCGCGAATCTTTGGAGATTGAAGATTGTACTCTGTTGACCCTCTGTTATACCGGTGTCCTAGCGGATTTGGACCCTCAACAAAACTGAGTGAAAAAATCATCCTTGACGTTCTAGTAGAATTAATTTATGTTCCAGTGCGTACTAAAGTATGTTTTCGATTCAAAACATGCAACTGGCGGCTGGAAATGACTCTCCGCGATAGTCGAACACCGCTAGATTCAATAGGAGACAAACTTTTGACACCAATTTATTTTGTTATTGTTCAATGCTTGAGTGTTGGGACGACATGGTACAGTGCGAGTTGTGCAAGGAATGGTTGTACATGAGTTGCGAGGGATATAAGACTGCCTTGGAGGGCGAGTGGTTCTGCATTGTCTGCAGACCGCCCGGCTCTAGACGTCTTCGTAATTTTTAAGATGTTTTTTCGGATCCCTCAACGGTTAATATCCGTTGAAATTAGAAAATAAGATTGAGTTCGATGTAATAGTCACCAGTTTTGTTAGGACGTAGACATTAATGTTTATTTGCCTTTGAAAATAAGCTGAGAGTTCCAATATAAACTTATAATAATAAGCTTCAGAATAGAAACGTTTTTACTTGCCATAGGCTTTACGAACGACTTTTAATAGGAGTTGTTACTTCGTTCTTGTTCAGAAACTGTTTAATGTTATTTAATTGGAAAATCAGACTGAGTTATTTTTGTGACTGGATGCTACAGTCTCCACTATAGTTATGACGTTTCATATCAATGTTGATTCGCATCAGAAGAAGCAAAGATTTAATTTGCGTATACTGTACGACTCTATAATAAATGTGGCAGAATTGGAACGAAATGGTTGTTTTTCTTTACCTTTACTGAGGAATGTTCTGTTGTGATAGAAGAGAACACCGGCAAAAAGCTTCCAAATAGAATTAGTGACCAAGTATGATACAAACGATGCTTAAAAGGAACGTTTGGTATGGGGGTCCAAATCTGCGAATAGGGGTCCATATCCGCTTGTGGATTTGGACCGGGGGTTTAAATCCGCGGGGGGTCCAAATCCGCTGTGACACCGGCAATCTTTGGGTCAATCTTTGGATTTCGTGGAAGTCTTTTTCGGTTACTCTTGGCTAAGTTAAGCTAAGGAGTCGTGCGAAGGTGCTTTCGCCCTATGCTCTCGCACCGCTCACGCTTCTCTCGCTTGATTGGGGGAAATTAAAAGGGCCTCTGCGAAGGCCACCTACCATTAGTATTAAAATCACACACAAAAAATTTAGCGTTATCTCTAGACCGTGTGTCATTTTTTGTCATTCAATCTTCTCCATCCATGATCCCTCTTAGTTTCTTTTTGCCTCTTTTTCTCAACATCCAACTAGGCAGTAATATGTTGCAGCCTCCTTAAAAATGAAGTTAGTTTTCACGATTCAAAGGAACTGTCCAGAACATAATAACAATAACGTACATCCACTAACTGTCTTTGTTTTCAATGGTAGGTGACACCAGTGAGACTTCTGAACATGGCGATCAATGTGCAGTTTGTACTGAGGGGGGAGAGCTACTGTGCTGTGACACATGTCCACTTGCCTATCATATTAGTTGTGTTTATCCGCCCTTACGACGAATTCCGCGCGGAAACTGGGCTTGTCAAGTGTGCACGGGGGCGGACGATGAACGACCACGGAGCTGCCGCGTAAAGAAAGCCACTATTGAAGGTAAAACTCAGAGAATAGTTTTTTGTTTCAGGCAAAGTTATGTCCTCCTATTCAGATGAGTCGGTTTTCCGAGAGTCAGTGCGGTTTCCTTTTATCCCGTCCATTGCATATGGTATCAGATAACTAACCCCGGTAACTCTTTCACTCCCAAGATCTCATTAGTAATTCTCTTTACTATCTGTCATGCAATTCTTATGATGTTGGTTCGGAGAATTTGATATTGGATCAATTACAAATGCCCTATTTGATCTTTTTTTTTTATTCTTATCACTTGCCTGGTTGATACTGTATGATATTTTAAGAAGAAATTCTGTCTTGGTCACTCATGGGAATTTATCGGTTAAGCATGAAACTGAGGTGGTGCTTATTCTCTCACCCCCGAAGCATTTCTTATCTTATCAGAGTTGTCGGTAGAGGAGTCAAAGCTACCGACTGATCAAACATTGTTGGAGGAGAGGGGAAAAATATGAAAATAAAAGAAAATAGGATAAATAGTTATCATTATGATGAGATAATGAAGTAAACGCGAAAGTCCAACATCCATTTTTCACACGAAAGTATCTCGTGGACTTTGGCGAGGAATAAAGAAGACATGGAACGAAGACGTTGATGTGAATTGTGTAGATTGATGCTTCGAGTTTTACGGTATAGCACCTTCTTAAGTGCCATTAAATCCTTATCTCTTTACTCTGCAACTTCCAGCTGCCCAAAGAAGTCTTCAGCAGAGCATCAAGGTCGGGAAAAGGAAAGCTACCCGCAGCAATTCCCGTCAGAGCAGCAGGCAAGCAAAGAACACCAACAGTCAGAGTCGGAAAAGACAACCATCGTCTTCTCCATCACCTCCACCGCATTTAAGAGTTGGCACCAAAACTGACAAGTCCACTAAGCGGCGGCGACTCTCTTCTTCGTCACTTTCAGCATCATCTCGTTCTCCGTCGCCTGCGTCGAAATCCAGTCAGAGACGCACTGTTAAGATAGCGTCGCGTGGCCGTGGTCGAAGTTCTCTCGATTCTTCTCGGTCCTCGTCTCCAATGCCTCTATCTGAGCCGAGTAAAAAGGCTTCTGGGAGGAAAGATCCTAGGCTAGGAACAAAGTTTGTTTTGTGCCAAAAGTTGCTAAACGAGATGATTAAACACGAGGACGCCTGGCCCTTCATTGAACCTGTGGATGTCGATGAGGTAAACCATTAACTGTGGCCAAAAAATTGATCTAGGATCTAATTTAGGATAAGCTTCGATCCCTAGGAAGTAGACCATTCTCCTTCACAAATCTTGTAACTAACAAATAACTTTGCGCTTTTAAGACAAGTTGAGCTACGTATCAACATTTTTTATTAAGGGGATAAGTTTTAAAAAAAACCTGTGCTGCTGCGTGGGTGGGAGAGTATAACAGGGTAATTTTATTGTCGATACTTTCGTTATTTCTTCCTTAAAAACTCAACGCAAATAACTAGCTCGGAACTTAGCTCTACACTCCGAAGGAAAGTGTTGGTCACCAGCTTATGAAGGTGACGGTCACCAGGCTGTCAATCTTTGACCATCGTCATTATTTTTCACTTATTTAGCGAATTATGTTAAGTTACGTGAAACAGATCCCGCATGTTGACTCTTTCCAAAACGACTTTCTACCTAAAATTTCACAATATTGCAGTGAGGGTCGGCCAAACAAAAACAAGAATGGTAATAAAAAAATTACAGAGAACCCATCGACGAAATAAGAATTACACTATTACACTTAAAAAGATATTTAAATAGAAAATAGCCTTTGAAGATAGTTACATAACAACAGAATAAACAGATAATTCGAAGAAGAAAGGGCGTACCCAAGTTACCGCCCCCAAGAGTACTACCTGCTGTTCATATAAGTTAACTGATTAGAGATTTAGTGAGGAGGGTGAAAAGTACAAGTTGTTTACACCTTTAGTTTCTATCAAGAAAGAGGTTTTGAAAGTGCCAAATTACAAACTTAGAGTCACCTACTATACTTTTAAAGTAAGACCGCCAAAGAAATAGGACTGAATTATCAACTAGTTTTTACTATTTTTTGCTGAAAAGTTTGTGCTTATGTGCTATGTGCATTCATTTTCCAACACTGAAATAAGTCTAAAAAAAACACATAAACAGAAACTTCTTGCTTGATGCCAATTTTGCCTTTTTACATAAGTATTATTAACTGAGTTGATAACGGAAATAGGCCACCGTATAGAGTTTTAAAACTGACGTTTCGAGTGTCAGCCATTCGTCATCGCTCTGACGAAGGGTTAACGCTCTAAGATTGTTTTGTAAGAAAAAGGAAAATAAAGTGTGTGTGTAAAGTGTGTAACGCTCGAAACGTCAGCTTTGAAACTCTTTGCGGTGGCCAATTTACGATATCAACTCAGTTGGCAATACTAAATTACCCCAACATTTTTTATTGTCTTCTTTGGGAACGAGGCCTGGTCACTGTAAATTCCCAGTAATTGTATTGAAACCCTGGTTGAAACCCTTGATAATAGTTTCCGGAGAGAGCAGTAATAAAAAGAACAAGCTGCAATAAGCCTGGAGGGAACAGGGTTCGGTAACAAGTCGCAAACTCGGGAAAATTTAGCCAAATTCTTCAAGATTTACAAATGGGTACGAAAATTATTTTGGTAGACTATGCATTATAATTATATTAGGATAACTTCCGTCACTTCCTTTTATTTTTAATTTTTTGTCCTAGAACCCTGATTATTTGGAGATCATAGAAAGGCCTATGGACTTAGGAACCATCAAGCAAAATTTAGCTGCCAAGGCATACGATTATGTGGAGGATTTCGCCGCCGACGTTCGCCAAGTGTTCATCAACTGTTCGGAATATTGTCGGCCACGAGGCAAAGAAGCCCGAGCTGGGATTCGGTTGTCGGCCTTTTTTGAGACGCAGTATTCCGACATGGGTCTAGATGCGACAGAGACTCGTACGACTCGAAGTAGACGAATATGAATCCGCAAAGAAGTGTGAAGATTTAACCAAGAACCTGAGAGAAAAACAAAACTGAAGAACGGTAGTCTTTCTCCTCTCCGTTTTCTATTTAATGGGGAATAAGCTTAAAGGAGAGGATAATGTCTTCTCTCTCGCGTAGTTAGTACTTCCTGTAACATTGCTTAAGACACGGAGACAAAGCAAACTTTAACTACTTGACAAAAAAAATCTCGCCCACGATATTATGCTAGATCATTCGCTTTAAGTAGTCAAATCAGTGTATTTTGTACTTTGTTCAAGGCTCACTCGTCAGTCAAGCAATATCTCGCCGAATATCGCAAAAAAATAGCAGCGTTTATTACCGTGGAAAGCGAATCTGCTTTGCCTTGAATTAGTTTGAAGTAAAACTAAAAAAAAAAAAGAATAAGCATCAAATGTAATTATTTATTGCTTGTGGGGCGGCTGAAGTCGCTTCGATTCGCACTAAGTTGTATGTGTTACACTTGAAAATAGAATTCAGGTATAGCGATATTACGAAAGACATTAAGTGCAATGAAGATTGTGGAGTACTTGTCCATTACAACTTTACTCCAAAATTATTAAAGCGTAGGACCAGCATGTATATAGTCTCGAAGAAATAAAGTGAGTAACTTTTTATCATAAATGTGAGAAGTTTGAAATAAGTTCAGTGAAGCAAAAAGATTTTTCACTTTTATGTAGCAGTCATTGCCGAATTTACAATGCTTTTTTCCGACGCGTAGATGGGGACTAGTACACCCCTTCCCCTTTCGTCCATCGACATTTTAGTGGGGACCCCCGAAAGGTGTAAGGATACAGAAAGGAAAATGAACCCCATTGTAGAGATATCAGTCTTTGGAAATTTAGAGACCAAGTTAACTGTTCGGGAGACCGGTATTTTTTTTCTTTAAACCCAGGAGATCTTAGGAGGAGTACCGCAAAGAGTAAGGAAAGGCCCTCTCCGCCTGCCCTCAATTGCTACGATTCTTTCCCCATATTCCATCGGTAGCCGTGAGGCAATGCAAGAGGCGGCTGGTACCCTTTCCTATGTTTTGAAAAACGCGGAAACTATAAAACTCGTAGAGCTCTGTTAACCCTCTAACTCCTAGCAGTGAGGAGCATCAAATATCTCCTTACAATGTCACCCCTGAGTCACAAAGAGGTCACGAAAGTAAATGAAATGATTGCCTACTGAGGAGGCTCTTGATTGTTAAACAAATTCTCGTTGTCGGGTACCTCAGAAACTGTGTAGCGTACTTTATGGAGAATATGCATACTGATCTAAGGGTGTAAAGGGTAAAGTAGTCTAACGGGAACTCCTGAAGGGGACAGCCATTAGTCTCCATCGTGCAACGAGTCGTCATATTTATCATCGTGTTGTTGGCAGATACTTAATATACCGATTTTGTAAATAATATGGCGGCTAAACGGAAAGGAAGAAAATTGATGCTTTAGCACTAACGATTGAGATTCATCACAAGCGATTGATAATTTTGGCACAAATGGCTCCCCCTAGCAAAGTTATTCATTGCTTGTTTACGGTGATGCGACTTCCTGGGACGACCGCAAGAAGGACGAACCGTAAAAGCACTGGATCATACTCCCATAAAGCACTTCGGTCGTACAAGCGGTGCCATTATAAAAATTTCCTTCGCTACTACTCAGTTCGAACCGCCAACTTGAGAATTGAAGTCGAGAAAATGGACAACAGATTAGACCCAAATGACGATAACAGATACAGAACAAGTGCCCCAGTCCAGGTAAGTCGGAGCTGCCATCCGAAATTTTTCTGGAATAGGATGAATAAGTTGAAAAATTAAGCTTAATTAACTAAATGTACGTAGACTGGACGTTTCAAGGGGAAAGTCTTGTTTATTATTAATCCGTGCTGATTCGTACCTGTGTCGGCGGCGGTTTTATTCCCATGGAGTAATTTCTTTGGTTGTTACCTGTGAATGAGCTTGAATTATTCTTCCCTTTTTTGTCACTATGCATATGACAAGGACTAAGGTCTTGTGATTGCTTTCGCTCCCACAAAATTGTCTCCCTATATAATGTAAATGACATTAGACAGTACATGTTTAAACTAAGTAGAGTTACTGTGAACCAGCAAATTGCCTGAAGAACAACTCTGGAATATTCAGTATTGACAAGCTTCTTGTCTTTTACGCTACGTTATGATACTCGGTCGTATGTTGGTAAACGATAAAACAAGCGATAAACATCTCCTTCTTATGGTACCTTGCATGAAACGTTATGCATGCTCAAGTTTTTACGTGAATAGGTTAAAAGGGGGTCTGAAGCTTTAAACTGTCATTTCATTTGCATTCATTGCTAGTTAGCTTTAGAGGAGTTGGTTTGGTATTTATTTTACGCCACTTCTTGTTATTTGCGAAAAATTCGATTTGAAGTTGCCTTTTTGCGGCCGTGAAACAGTCGGCTAAAACGATTAGCACGTCAAGGCACAAATTAATGCAAATGAAAACACGTTAACATCGCAGAGGCTATTTGCCTTTACTATCAGTGTTTCATTTTGCTTTGATTTACATGACAAATCGTTAGCAACGTAAGTAAAAAAACCTGCTACACTTTTTTAGTTGATTTTTGTAATACTTTTTGTAAATGTACAGTTGTGCTAATAAAGCCAGTTGTGTTACTGTTGTAATTCATTTATCCCCTCACAGCACTTAACTTGCTATCAGCAACCCCTTGTATATTTCAAATTGCACTCAAAAGTGTGTGATTACTTGCTCAAAGGTAATTCCTTAGTATTTGATTGTGCATCCCTTCTGAGGACATTTACATGTATTAGGTGCATTTGTCTTAACAAAGTTGTGGTTTTTATTATGGCCGCAGGCTTAATTATAAGGGTGATGGTGATTTTATTTAAGAGAATTGAACACATTTGCAAACATTATACCAGAGTAATGAGCCGGGTGATCCTCCTTTCACTTAAATGGTATCATCTTGTTGATATGTTGTACAACCATTTAATTTAATCCTAACTTTCTATCACAGTCCCATGGAGGTCTTTTGTCAGCTGGGTCTTCAGGTTTACAGACAACGACATCTTTGCCTGGGGGCCTGAGTACCTATCCACCCACACCCAGTCCAATGCCACCACTAACACCTATGACTCCTATGACAGCAGAACAAGCTGGGATTGTACCTCAACTACAGTGAGTGTATAATTGGTTACTCTACTATTTAAATTCCTTGTACTATTCAGGCTTGTACTTGCTAAATGTTTATTCAGTGGAACAGCTAGAAAGAGATACACTTGTTAATGTCTCAAATGCATTATCAAATTATTTTGCCTTCTGAGCATAAAGAATATCTTAGTACTTGTAATAATCATATGCACAGGTGTATATAATGATACTTGGGTTACATCTTTTTCCTCCATGGTTTTGCATGTTGTCTTTCATGTGCAAAGTCTTACACACTATACATACACCTGTACAATTTCTTTTATGCCAATAATGACAAGTTAAAAATTTGGATTCTGTTAGTAATGGTAATGATAATAATGATAATCACCAGCCAATCAGCAGGTGCAAAAACCTCTATTCACTTGCGTGTTATATACTAATAATAATTACAATGATGAGGATACTTGTGTAATTTTAAATTTACTGTATTTCTTCACTTATAAGCCAATCTTGGATATAAGCCGAGACCCTAAAAGTTAGAGACCTTCCAGCAGACTCGTGTTGTCCAAGAAAAAAGCAAAACCATCAGCTATAAGCCGAGAGTGATATTCTTGATTGTCAACAGCCATTTGAGTGAGCGAACCTAACGGAAAACATTGGGAAATGGTTCACTGAACACAAAAGCTAATGAATTATAATAAACACAAAAGAAAAAAATGAATCAGTGAAGATGTAAATACTACTATGCAACTGCAGAAACACAACACCCTCAGTTACTGTAACCTGACAAGCATTTCAACTGAGTATTTCTTTCGTCACTGTTATTTTTCTCATCATGCCAAAAGTACATCGCTCTTCATGTATTATGGCTTTCAGTGACGGTAAATGTTATTGCGGAAGCTGAAGCTGTTGCAAACAACTCAGAAATCGCTCGAGATTATGGACTTAGCAAGTCCATGGTGCGACACTGGAGAAGAGATCAGTAGAACTAGTAGAGCAAGTGATGGAGTGGTTTTCACAGCAGTGAGACCAATAGAAATGAGAAGAGCTTTGCAGAGTTGAGTGAGATCATCTTTCAATGCATGGGAAGCAAAGAATCTGATTGGTGGTTAGAAATAGGTTGTTGTCATAACATTTTTAAAACATGTCACATAAAGAGCGCTTCAGTCGCAGAATTTATGGTCATTTCACATTAACTTTAAATTTGCAATTGTACTTGTTTTTGATCCCAAACCCTTGGCTATGAGCAGAACCCCGTTTCTTGTGAAAAATCTCCCAGACTTTTGTGTCAAATACTGAAAAAATCACTCAGCTTATAGCTGAAGTAATACGGTAAAACTTGAGTTGATTAAAAAAATAAAATAAGACTACTATATTTAAAAAAACTGGTAAAAAATCTTTCCAGCAATTTGTTTTGTGCCAATATTAACAAGTTGAAGGTATAAATTATATACAAAAACAATTATTATGATAATGATAACATCATTCTACAATAACAATAATAGTAATGATGATAATAATGATGAAAAGAATATGACTGTATACAGTAATAACCTTATAAAGGTGCACATCATTCTTAACTTATAAAGTGATGTACATCAAATTTAAATTAAAGATTTGTGTTAACTGGCTGATAACTAATTCTTAAGATCACGTATGAAGAAGTCAGATTCACTGTCAGTCTCAAATGTTCATTCCAAATTGTGGGTGCATTGGTGGAAGAGGATCTGTGGCCATACTTGGAGTGTGGACTAAGTGCTTAATTAGTAGTCGTACTTTTTTTAATTCTTACTTAAAATTTTTGTAAAGGAAATCTTTCAATAGTATATATAGTCGATCTCTAGCTGTCAATATTTTGTTTTGATAGAAATATTGTGTCCACTGTAAATCTTGGCTGTAAGTTAGACTTGAAGAAGATTGCTCTTCATGCAAGGAATGCAGAATACAATCCAAAGGTAAGTTGTACATGTAGCACTTTTATTAGTAACATGTTTTAAGTTTATACAGAAGCTTTTGAACTATTTGTAACAGAAGTGTTTGTTTTCTAGAGCTCTGCACACTGAATTATTTTTGTCAATTTTCAGCGATTTGCAGCTGTAATCATGAGAATACGAGAGCCAAGGACAACTGCATTGATATTCAGTTCTGGAAAAATGGTTTGCACAGGAGCAAAAAGGTATTTGCAACTCAGAGAACATAATTTTTTAAAATTGAGATCATAAACTGACTGGTGTCTTATTCAATTGCAACAAGTTTTAGCTCTTATTATCATTGGTTGCTTTAAAATTTCAAATTCTGACCAATTCAAATGAAAGCTACCATGGGTAAATGAAAGGATATATGGAGGCTTAGGTTAGGTTTTGGTTCATTTTAAACTTATCCATTTAAAACTCTCTGTAAACTTAATTTGACTCTTTCATATTATTCTTAAGATGATTGCACTTTTGAAGGCTGTTAAAAAGACTTCTGAAGTGTTATTTTATGTTTTCCTTAG